TCTCTGCCGCTTGCCAGCTACGCCTTGGCCAGCGCAGGGGGCGGAACCACGCATGCGTGGTGCTCCCGGGCAGGGAAAGTCCTTGACGTACGACCGGTTGGGTAGTCCTCGACTTACGACCAGTTTAGTCCTCGACTTACGACCGGTTTAGTCCTCGACTTACGACCTGTTGGGGGTCGCGGCATTAAAAAGGTTGAGAACCACTGTATTAAATGAATTTTGAATGCTGAATATTCAAGGAATGGTTATTTGGCAAAACCTGGATTTGTTTATTGTAGGATCACTGTAAGGCCCAAGAGATATAGTTGTTGCTTGGACTTTGTCTACGCTTGTTATCTATTGTAGTGGAGTGTCTGCGAAAGGCTATTTTCCTTTTGCAAATATTGTTTGTGCCGGAGCCAGGATTGGGCGAGATTGCTGATAGCAGGAAGTTAAAACTGCAAACAAGGAGGATTTGGGTTTCCATTCATTCCTGGCCTGTTTTTAACAATCTGTTCATTTTGTAACTAGGTATTCCCCACACAATCCTATCCTCCTCAGATCATTTGGCAGCACCTAGTTCTATTTTTTTAAGAAAAAAAAATGCAAATATTTTGGTTTTGTATTTCCTAACATGAATGATCAGGATTGATCTCTGGTTTTCAAACAAGCCATCTGTAATTCAATATAGGTAGCCTTTGACTTGCAATTGAGCCCAACATTTCTGTTGTTAAATGAGACATTTGTTAAGTGAGTTTTGCCCCATTTTATGAGCTTTCTTGCCATTGTTGTTCAGCGAATCATGGCAGGTGTTAAGTTAGTAGCATAGTTGTTAAGTGAATCTGGCTTCCCCTATTGACTTTGCTTATCAGAAGATCTCAAAAAAGGTGATCACATGACCCCAAGAAAGTGCAGCATCATAAATAGGAACCAGTTGTCAAGCATCTAAATTTTGATCACATGACCATGGCGATGCTGCAATGGTCATAAGTGTGAAAAATGGTCATAAGTCACTTTTTTCAGTGCTGTTGTAACCTAGAAAGATCACTAAATGCTGTAAGCCGAGGACTACTTGTACTCTTTTTCCAAAATGGAATGGACCTGAATATTCTGGACCAACGTGCCTTGCCTGATTGTCCAGATGAACAAACACCTGTCCATCTTTCCCCAACCAGGTGCCCTCCAGTTACACTGTGATTACAATTCCCAGAATTCTCATTTGGAAATTCAGAATCCTGACATATCTGGGGCCTATAAGATTGAGGAAGACTGATCTATTTCAACAGAAGCACTGAAATACAGGTAGTCCTCAATTTACAACAGTTCGTTTAGTGACCATTCAAAGTTACAACGGCCCTGAAAAAGTGACTTATGACCATTTTTCATATTTACGACCGTTGCAGCATCCTCAGAGACATGTGATCAAAATTCAGACGCTTGGCAATTGACTCACATTTATGATGAGAGGTCTCACTTAGCAACAGAAATTTTGGGCTCAGTTATGGTCGTAAGTCGAGGACCACCTGTAGTCGAGAAGCTGAAAACCAGTGCATTGCAGAGTTGTGCAAGATTACATAGAAAAGGAGGAGGATGTAGTTAATATTTACCGGAGAACTGGTTGAATGAAAGGCTGGTAATTAGGGAAGTATGATTTATTTTTAAAAATACAGTAGTCCTATATCACCCTTAATTCATATTTAGCATAGAGGAAAGGGCACCACTGTCCTGGAGGCAGGAAACCAATTATTTTTTTACAGGACTTTGAAAGGAAATAGATTAGTTGGGATTTAAGAAAAAAAAACAGCCAAATCAAATATCCTTCCAATGAACTGGGCTTCACCTTCCATCCATCCAGATTTGGAAGGTCCCAGGCTGAGAAAGGCTTTTTCCTCAGACCTCCCCTGTCTCTTTTGGGACAGACTTATTCTTTTCTTCCTTCCCCCAAGGAAAGGGATTATGTTACAAGGCTCTGGTAACAATTCCAACCTGTTTGTCCTGGAATGTGGCATTTAGGGCCTTGACACAGGAAATTCAGTCTCTGCTGAAAGCTAGAATTGCAAACAGTTTTATGCTTTGCCTGGGTTGGGGGCGGTGGGGGAAAATGCAGGTGGAAAAATGCAGTTTGGGCTGAAAGAGCTCTGTCCAGGCTTCGTGGGTCATGAGGAGGGCAAGAGGCATGGACTTTAGGGATAAAAATCTTTGAACATCTGTTTTATCCCAGGGAACTTCATCATACAGAAGTAATGAGAGTTAGGCTTTTCGTTCTAATAATGATGACCCGAACTCGAACCAGCTCTTTGCTTCTGCTACCCCAACTCCTCCTAAGTCTGGAGAAATCATTTACCCTCCAGTATTGGTTGATTTCTTCTTAAAATATATTTATGCTCTCCTGTCCTAAAATGCTGAATGGGGTCCAGGAATATTGAAATTCCAGACTGACTTCAATTTCGATGTGGCCTTTAGCAAGTGATATTAATTCATCTTCACTTTTCTCATCTGTACATTGAAATGAGAACAGCAGGAACTGCAGAAGAGCAATGACTCCACTAGAATTGGGTTTCTGCGTGAAGCAAAAAAAAAAAAAATCGCACTCTTGGGTCAATGTTAGTTTAGTGTAATGTATGAACTCAACCATTTGTTTTGAAATCCATGGCTTATGACTTAGTAGGCGGGAGCAAACTCTTTTAAATAATTTTTCCTGTCAATGATTAGATGAAACCAAAGGGGATAGACCTGAAATGTGGTGGTGGGGAATCTCTTTTGTGAGTTCTTCAGATTGAGGGTCTTTTTAAAATGTCTTTTGTTTTACTAAAATAGCTATATTAGGCTAATTAGAGGGCTGGGCAGTCTACTTTGGGTTACAAATCACACTAATACAATTCCTATGGCCATTTGCATACTCCGGTGGGGGATTCTGTAACTGACTGCATGTTCACACTATTTACACGCTGAAGTGTAAATTACCCAAGCAGACAGGTATCATACAACGAAGTAGGCTAAAAGTTAGTTGGCAAGTTTGTGGCTCAGAGAATGAGCACAAACATGTGACACACATACTGCCTTAAGTTCTTGAAGACAGAATGGCAGACAGGAAGCTTCCTATATAATTGTGGGGTATTACATGTAGTTCTCGACTTATGACAATAGAGCCCAATGTTTTTGTTGCTAAGTTGTTAAATGAATATTGACCCATTTTATGATCTTTCTTGCCGCAGTTGTTAAGTGAATCACTGCAATTGTTAAGTTAGTAACACGGTTGTTAAGTGAGTCTGGCTTCCCCATTGACTTTGCTTGTCAGAAGGTCGCAGAAGGTGATCACATGAACCCGGGACACTGCAATCATCATAAATATGAGTCAGTTGCCAAGTATCTGAATTTTGATCATGTGTCCATGGTGATGCTGCAATGGTTGTGTGAAAAACAGACATAAATCACTTTTGTTCAGTGCCCCTATAACTTTGAATGGTCACTAAATGAACTGTTGTAAGTCAAGGACTACTTGTAATTAGTCATAGAACAGCCAATTGGATACATTTGGGAAGCTTACAAGTTTAGACTCCACCATTGCTTCATAACAACCAATGAACCTGCCCACTATTCGGGAGTAATTAACAGTCTTAATAGCCATTTATCTTAATCTTCCATGATCTTGTCCAATTCCCTCTTTAAATGGGCCAAATTGGCTGCTATTATTACAGCTGCTGGCAGCGGATTCTATAGTTTAACTAGGTGATGTATAAAAAGTACATTTTTTTTCTGCTCATCTCCATTTAGTTTCAGTGCTGGCACTGAATTTTAACTTTATAAGAAAAATTTCTCTCCACCCATGTTATCTATGCCATACTTTATTTGATACCACTGTGTTAAAAGCATGTCTCCCAGCCTCCCTATATTCCAGATTGAAGAATCCCACCTACTGGGATCCTCTAATCATTTTGGTTACCCCTTTTTGTACCTTTTTCCTTAATTCTGTAAAAGCCTTCTTAATGATTAAAGTTACATAATACTCAAAAATATGGTGTCTCCGTAGATTTGTATAGGAACATTATTATTATCAATAGTTCTATTTTCAATTCACTTCCTAATTATTTCAAGCATCAAATTGGCTTTTTGGCAGTAACTGAGCCTTGGGTTGATGTTTTCGTAGAAGAATCCACTGTGACTTCAGGACACCTTCCAGTTCAGATGCCATTAATGTTTAGCCAAAAATCAGAACAAATCTAATAACATTTATAGGTAAAGGTTGGACTTTTGTGCCAACATCCATTATTCAATACGGTACATCCAGATAGATTTTAGAAGAGCATCCCATTTGTCAGAGAGTCCTATTAATATAGGCAGTCCTCGACTTACAACCACAGGTTTATGTTGCCAAGGGAGACATTTGCTAAGTGAGTTTTACCACCTTTCTTGCCTCAGTTGTTAAGTGAATCACTGCAGTTATGAGTTAGTAACTTGGCTGTTAAGTGAATCTGGCTTCCCCATTGACTTTGTCAGAAGGTTGCAAAAGGGAATCTCATAACTTTGGAACACAGCGATGGTCATAAATAGTTGCCAAGTTGCCAAGCATCTGAATATTGATCATGTGATCCTGGGGAATGCTGCAAAGGTCGTAACTGTGAAAAACAGTCAGGTCACTTTTTTCAGTGCCATTGTAACTTTGAACGGTCACTAAATGAACTGTTGTAAGTCAAGGACCACCTGTACTCATCTTTTCCTACATGTCCATGCCCTCTGGCCCAGCAGAAACAGATGGAATTCCATGCTGTGTGCTAAAAGAAAGAGAAGAGACAGAAGCATGTCTGTAACACAACTTCTTCCAAGTTTAATTATTCTCTTTGATTGTCCTGTTGTGTTCCCCTCAAGTTTTGGATGAGGAGTTTTGGTTTTTATCTGTTTTTCTAATTAGGAATTTTTTTTAAAAGCTATTTTGTCACCACTTATGCTCTCTTTCTGACACGCACACACATACCACAGAAAATCTAAATCTGTCTCTCATGTATTCTTGTTTCCCTCTACAGCAGTGGAGACCCAGAGTACAAGTTCTGAGGAGATGGTGCCCAGCTCCCCTTCTCCACCCCCACCCCCACGGGTCTATAAGCCGTGTTTTGTCTGCAATGACAAGTCCTCTGGCTACCATTATGGGGTCAGCTCCTGCGAGGGCTGCAAGGTAAGTGAAGGGAAGGTCCTGGACTGCCATCTGCTTTCCAGTTTCTGAGATTGAGGGTTGCATTTCCCAAGCGCCCACCCCCATAGCCTCCACAGTACACATCCAGAATTCAGGCAGGCATCATGACTCCTGCCTCTGTTCAGCTAGGAGGGTGTGGTTGGCTACTTCACCCAGACCTCCTTCCTCTGCCAAAGAATGTTACAGGAGGGAATTCCAAGTTGCCGCATGCCAACACCCAAAGCAGATTATGCAAGCAAGACGAAATGTGCAAAACAAGCAAATGTATACAGATTTGCATCCTTCACTCCACTGGTGGAATCTGAAGTTGTTTGCTGCAGAAAGTCCACCTACGTTTTTAGTACAGAAATCCACAAGGCCTTTGACTAATATTAGAGAGCTGAACTGTTGAAGGCCACCCAGATTTCCTGACCAGTCAAGGGTTTCTGAGGTCAGTAGCTGGATTGTAAGGGTGCACTTAACATATCTGCATGATTCCAGGCAGAAACTGGATGTCCTCCCAGATGTGTTGGATTTCAGTTTTCAGCTAGCTGGAGTATTGGCCCTATTTTTGCTTTTTTTGGGGGGGGGTATACCTTCAGATTAGTGTTGACTTCTGGCAACTGCCTGGACTAATCCCTGCAGTTTTCTTGGTGAGATTTCAGTGGTTTTCCCTTGTCTCATTCCCAGAGCTGAGAGAGAATGACTGGCCCAAGGTCATTCAGCTGACTTTGTGCCTAAGGTAGAACTAGAATTCACCATCTCCTTGTTTCTAATCTGAAGCTTGAACCACTACACCGTATTGGCACTTTAGTACTGGCACTGGAACAGGTTAATTATATTTATCTTTTTTGTTGTTGTTGTTAGATCTGGTTGCATTGATCAATGCCCCAGCATAGTCTCTAGGATCCTAATAATTAGCATCTGTAATATTCTCTAGTATTATTTCAGTAATATTTGGTAGTGCTTCTCTAAAACAGGCTGTGTAGTATGATCCTCCCAATACTGCAGATAGATCCAAGAGACTGTAGCTTACCTAAACTCACCCAATTATGTGTCATAGTTAAAGAAATACTTGGGTTCTGAACTTCCTGGATTATTGCTTTTTAGCTTCTACATCAGTGCTCTGCAACCCAGTGCTGTTCAAAAACTTTGGTCTATAATTGCATATGAGCTCCAGTACTTATTCGTGCTGATTGGGACCACTGGAGTTGTCTTATGAGGTATAAGGAAGGACCTGAATTGAGAAAATTGCTCTCTTATAAATGGAACCTGTAGCACATGCCCTTTCAGAGGTTTCTCCTGCCTGAGCATGTTGTGGAGGTGATACATGTGGGAGAAGACAGTACTAAGCAAGAATGGCTAATAATCTGGCCTACCATGAGACAGCTGGATGCATCATTACAGATCATAATGCATCCCAAGAGTTAATCAAATAGTGGATCATAAGGCTTTGTTGGTAAGAAACAAGGTGTTCCTTTCAAGTGATGCTGAATTACAAACATTCCACAGTTCTAACAAGCCAGACCAAATAAAAAGCATTGTGGGCATTGTAGTTCAAAATATCCAGAGGATATCTTGCACTAAACAAACTTCTATAAACAGAAGTCCCCAACTGAAACAGTGACTGGTTGCTCCTGTTAAGCTAAGCCTGAATGTGGTTTGACTTGGGGAGAGTGTTCTGCATGAATGCAGTCATTATGGTTGATAAACCACGTTTACATTTTAATGGATTGTAAGGACCCAGTCAATTACTATGTTCAGTTCGTTCAGCTGAATTTGATTAAAGTAAGCCATGCTTTAGGACTGTGTGAACTGGCAATCAGGAGAGAGTCTTGCCATGCCAGCCTTTCACCTCAAGCCTCCTGCTCACTTGTAACTCTGCTCTCTATAACTTTTAGGGCTTCTTTCGCCGAAGTATTCAGAAAAACATGGTCTACACCTGCCACCGAGACAAGAACTGTCAGATTAACAAGGTTACTCGCAACCGCTGCCAGTATTGTCGCCTACAGAAGTGCTTTGAGGTTGGCATGTCCAAAGAAGGTGAGTCTTCCATCAGAGTTTGAATAGTAGATCCCCTTGTATCTTCCATATCGGTAGAACAGGGGTCTTCAAACTTGGCCCTTTTATGACTTATGGACTTCAATTCCCAGAATTCCTCAACCAGCGTTCCTGGCTGAGGAATTCTGGGAGTTGAAGTCCATGAGTCATAAAAGGGCTGAGTTTGAAGACCCCTGCTGTAGAACATCAAATCCCAGTATTTGCACAACCAGAAAGAACAAGTCAGTTTGGGGAAGGCTGGTTTATAACTTCTTGAGGTTGGTACAAAGCTAATGCCAAAGGGGTTACCCCTCTTAAATATTGCTGGGGTGCACATAATGTAGGCGTAAGCAGGAAAAATCCTGAGAATGAGACACAGGGCTAACTGCAAGCAACAGCCCTGGAAATATAAAACTACTGTATGCTTCTAGTTGTGAAAGAAATGGCTTTTGAGAAGGGAATCTAAAAAGGAAGCAGCATGAACATATCTGTGCTTTGAATCAAATAGTGCACAGAAGAGACCAAGATAGGAAGTTAAATGTTTGTCAAGCGCTCTGCTGTTGTTCCTCAGACCAGTGGTTTCTCCAGTCCAACATTCATTTTCCTACCATGACTATCCAGATGATGGTTAGAAACTTGCAGATTGGAAGACCATAAATGATAGCAAAGGAAACTGGGATGGATCAACAAAGAAAAGAGAAAGCAGGGCAGAGTTTCTCAACCTCGGTGACTTTATATCTTAAAGTCACCAAGGTTGAAAAACAACTGGCTTTAGAGCAATCACTGTGTATTACTTGATTTGGCCACACATCTGCTTTGGAAACCTAAAGTACAGGTAGTTCTCAACCTATGACTAAAATTGAGCCCAAAATTTCTGTTACTAAGCGAGAGAGTTGTTAAGTGAGTTTTGCCCCATTATATGACCTTTCTTGCCATAGTTGTTAAGTGAATCATTGCAGTTGTTAAATTAGTAACAGGGTTGTTAAGTTAATCTAGCTTCCCCATTGACTTTGCTTGTCAGAAATTCGCAAAAGGTGATCACATGACCCCCGGGACATTCAACCGTCATAAATATGAGTCAGTTGCCAAGCGTCTGAATTTTGATCACGTGACCTGGGAATGCTGCAACGGTCGTTAAGTGTGAAAAATGGTCATAAGTCAGTTTTATCAGTGCTGTTGAAATTTCAAACAGTTACTAAATATTCTGTTGTAAGCTGAAGATTATCTGTATAGGGACTATACTTACTTAATTGCTTTATATGGCCCTGTTGTACACATTTCATAAATGTTCATTTAAATATTTATTGATGGTGCCTAAGCAGATTTTTTAATGTTCCTCCAGGACATGGACTTAAGCTATTTAACACAATATGAAAGACACACCCATGTCCAACAGCAAACCATATCTATGTGCACACACATAGAAATGTGATTAGAAGTGCGCATTTATTCCATATATTCCAAGGCCTAAAATCACATTATTTTAAAGAACATTTTGTGCCTCTGATTCTCCTGCAGTTTGTCCTGCTAGCCAGCATTGCTTTTATGCACAATATATAGGGGTACCCAATTTTTATGCTTATTAGCAAAGCCATGTTGGTGCGATTCAGTCATAGATGCACCTAGGAGAATTCACACAAATCTTTCCCAGGGATCTTTGGTTCCTCCTGGGCAGCCATCTGCTTTTTGTATCTGGTTTCTCCATAACATTTTTCTTCTATGGCATTGCTTTCAAATGGATTTTCCCGTGAACAAAAATTCTGGAAAATGAAAAGACACATGTGGATTTTCAGAAACAATAGTTGATGATGGCAATTTTCCCTTCTGGATGGGGTGGGAGGAGCCAAGAAAGCAGCAAACCTATAATGATATTCCATAATGAATAGGGAGCAGGGACTAGGTGTGGGGGAAATAATCCCCCAAAATCTTGGAGGAGCCACACACAAACCAGCATCCCTTGGAGGCCGAATCTGAGTGCTCTGCTGCCCCTTTAAGAGGGCTGTCAAAACGCCCAGCCCTTTCAGAGACAGAGTGCCTCTCAGCGGCTGTTGCTTTTACTCCCAACTGCTTAGGCACGTCTTTGCCCTGGCCTTAGCCAGGACCCACATTAATCACCGCCTCTTTAAGAGCCCCTAATTAGGAACGTCTAGGTCTCAAAACCTGGCGATTTATTTCCGAGGGCCTGTCACTTTAAAGGGAGAGGAGGGGGGGGGAAGAGAGAGAGGATGGGGCCAGGGGAGCGTGGTGTCAAGGGTGGGGGAAACTACGAAGAAGAATGTTATCCCGATGGGTTGTCACTGCAGAGACAGGAAACGGATGGCCGAAGGGATCTGAGCCAGCCCAGGCTTTTCCCCTTTCCCTCTGTATTCCATGCAGGGCTCAGATGGGGCTTGGGACCACGGGCAGGGACATGGATCCCAGCTAGATGCACTCTCCGAAACCGTGTGGCCGCCACACGCCTCGCTGTGAAAAACAAAAAAGAGGGGGGGGAAGTTTTTTGGGGGAGAGATTAGGGGAGAGCTCCCCTAAGGCAGTGGAGTAATGTTATCTGCATGCAAAACCCCCCCTCCAGAGAGCAGTATGCCTGGGCTGGCAGCCTCCCCCCCCTCCACTCCTCTCCCCTCAGCATTGTGCTGACTGCGGCTATAAGTGTATATCCTGCCGATTGGCGTATCCTGTTCCCAGATCCCTGGCGCTTTATCCAGGGGTGAACAGGAAGGGCAGCCTGAGAAGGCTCAGGCCGAGGAGAGTGCACACGCAACCCAAGGCTCTCAGTGAAGAAGGAGCGCTGGCAGGATTCAGAAGAAGGGGAAGGAGGGTACCCTGGCTGAGAAGAGACAGAGAGAGGGGGCAAAACATCCCTATGCACGCCAATGGAGAAGAAGCCCTCTTGGGGCCATCTCCAGATACCTTCTCCGGAGGGCGCCAGATCCAGGCTTCTTCCTTTGAGATTCTGCAGCTAGCTGGGAGACCAACATAGAAACTGTCCCCATTTTGGCACCCTGAAATTGGTAGAGCGGTAGATAGCCTTGGGTAGACGCCAGACAAATGGCTGCTTATTGCCTTCCCGGACAAGGAAAGTGTTTGTATGACCACCGTGACTATAAATGCTCTTTTGAAGCAGCCTGTGTCACTGCAGAAAGTGGATTAAAATCCCTGCCATTCCCATAACTGTGCACAGAAACAAACCAAAAGAGTGGCTAATAATATATTATTCCTATCTGTTTTTACTCAGATGCAAGTCCTGTTTCGTTCATGAGGTTTATTCCTAGGGCATTGTGCACAGTGGACGCATATGACTGTCCTGTACAATGCTTTTTAATAATTTTGATTTGTATTTTAAAAAATAGCATGAAGAGTAGGTTAGTTATGTATCTTTGCCTCTTGTTCTATCAGTGACATTGATGTTGCAACATAAACCTTCCCTCATTATCAACTCTTTCTCTAAAAAGCCATATCCGATTAAAATATAACAAGGTAGGTGAAATATTTCCAAGTAGTTAATAACAACCCCGAACAGCTTTGGGAAAATGCCTGTGTAGAGCCTAAGCTCAAAGCATTGCAATGCTCTTGTGCCATTTAAGGTACTTGCTATGTTTTCTGGCAAATTAGTAATTACTATCAGTTTCCTAATTACAGGTTTCACTTAATTCATGTTTGTTGTTCTCTTTTCCTCTCCAGCAGTGTGGGAGAGGTAAGTTTAAAATTATCATCAGAAACTGTTTATTTTAGGTATCCTCTGCTATTTTTGCATGATGGAACCTGAGGCAGTTCCTAAGCAAATACACATCGGTTCTGTTCACATGGCATGCTTAACCAGAGCTCTTACATATTTAAACGCTATATTCCTAAAACATTCTCAGCATGGTTAATTTTAACCTGGTTAGATTTTGTGTTGTGTGAACCCAGCTCTTTAAGTTAATGTTGTTGTAGTGTGCAAATCCCCCAAAACTGGTTGATCAAATTAAGCAAATTGCAAATTGTATTAACCCAGCCATCCAGATGGTGGTCTGTAATCTGCTTCAATGATAGTTGAAGTAACTACGCATAATCAACAAAAGCAATGTTTTCCAAACCATGAGAACAGTTCCACTTGATTCTACATTGGTCAAATTCCATCTTGAGTATTGTGGTTAGATTAAAAAAAAATTCTGACTCGGTGTGTGGAGAGGTCAAAACAAGCTCAGATGAAATACTGTAAGTTGGAGTTGCTATTTGCCAAGAATAGATGGGATCCACAATTTGGGGTCCTCCTAGACTTATGATTCCTGTTAGACACAATATCTGGGTAGGCTTTGCCCAGTGTTGGCTGGTGATTGGATTGCTGACAGGTTGGATTTATTTGTATGATTTATATCCTTTATTTATTTATTTATATTGTATGGAAGTTCAAAAAAGTGTACATAGTGCACTTTTCTCCTGTTTTTTTCCTCCAACATATTTGGGTCATAGGATGTCAGTTCTTCAAGGCTAGGAAACCAAAATTATGAATGCTAATATTACCTTTTACAGTAAAAGTTTAACAGAATCGTGCAAGACTAAATGTACTGATCTCCACCCTCCCTTTATCTTTGTGAGAACTAGAGAGGATCTTCTCTGAGACACTTTTTGAAATTATTTTTCTGTCCAGGAATCAGATTTTTTTTTTTATCTGATTGTTGTTTTGGTTGTGGTTCTTCCGCCTGTTCCTCAAAGTTATTTTTTCCGGACTACCTCTGAAGACAAATCATATGTTTTAATTGGCTCTTCTGCTAGGCATTGATAGAAGATACAGTCAGGTAAGACTGGTGCTGTAGTTGCAGTACAGTTTTGTTTCTGAGCCTAGTTCAAAGTGCTGGTTATTATCTTTAATGCCCCACCTGGCTTGGCTTACATGTACCTGCAGGATCATCTCAGCTATTAGATTTGACACGTCCCACACATTCTTCTAGGGAAGGCTTGTTGAGGGTCTCCAACCCATTTGAGCTTGACAACGCTACTCAGTATTTGCCATCACACAGTGGAACCTCTTGCCACAAAGTACAGAATGTCCTGAAACTCCTAGTTGTAGGACACTACTTAAGGTTGGATTTGTTTTGCTTGAGTCTGCAGACATGCAATATGCTATGTCTAGGGTGAGGAGAAATCAAGAACCTCGCAGGTTATTTTTAATGAACTTTGTGCATTAAATATGAGTTTTATCCTGCCATTGGAGAAGCTCTGGACTTGGTTATTGCTCCACACTGGAGAAAGTAACAGCTCTGTTTGTTGGGTGAAGTGAGGTACAGCAACCCTACCCACCCTCCTTTCCCAACGTCTCCAACATCCCTTTGGCTCTCTGTCCAGCTCTTTAGATGGTCCTTCTGACTGAGCACCATTCTCGGAACAATTCTGGGATACCGGTAGTCTTTTTGGAATTGCAGAATTTACTGCATGGCTTAGAGGTTAGGGAGATGACAGAGGTGTGAAATCTGAAATCTGAAACCTGTGATTATGCTGAAAAAGAGAAAGAAAGGAGCATGGCATGGGGTAATTGACGAAGGGCTGGATTTTTTTTTCTCTACTCCAAGGGAATGGGGGAATGGGGAAGCTACTTTTGTTAAAATTCTCCCTGAGGAGCACTGTTTAGAGTAGCCCCGAGGGTCAAGCAACACTAGAAGGGATGGCAAAGTGACTAGGAGTCTGACATGAAGGACTGCTGCTTTTGGGCAGAGCTGTTTGCATGCAGACAATCCCAGTTTGAATTCCTGAGCTCTCCAGTTTCAAAAAAAGGCTCAGAGAGGTCATGGGAAAGATTATCTGGTCAAAATCCTGGAGAACTGCTGCTTGGTGGACAAATAGTCTGAGGTGGTATAGAGTACAATAATTCTTTTGGGAGGAGAATAGAGCATACCTCAGTCTGTTTACTCTCATACCATCCTATCCAGGCATGAACATCTGCTGGTAACTGTTTTTTTTTTTATTATGGCATTCCCTCATCAAGTTGTTTTTGTCTCATTCCCAGCCCAGCCGTTCCAGTTTTAAAGTAGTGTTTTCCATCTTCTCCTGACACAGTTTTTGAGATGGATGTGCTCTGGCATGCTTCATCAGTGAAAGAGTTGCTGATGGAGAGGGATGGGCCCAGCTTCTATTCACTCTTGTAGGCTGTTGTGTTTGTTGGCAGTGCAAAGGATGGCAATCCTCCCACAGCCTCCCTTTGCATGCCCTTCCTCATCCAGTGGATGGAAAGTGACCTGCGTGGCCATTTTGGCCAGGGCTGCAAAAGAGATAAGAAATTTGACATTGGGAGAGGCATTTGCCCACAAAGTGCTTGATTGGCACATGTCAAAGTGCCTATCAGGTCTTACAAGGGCTCTTTACAAACAGGAGCTTAATGCTATTTTGAAAGACACTTAGACTTGTATTTTTTGTAAAACAAACAAACAAACAACCAAGGTCAATACTTTGCACTAATTCTGTGTCTGGCCAGAAGGTTTATTTAAACTAGAGAGAAGAAACCAGATTCTGCAATTTGATGTTGCTGATTCCATCACAACCAGGCACATTATAGGGTCTCCACTGCTTGTTCCAAGAAGGGACTTTTGATTTTGGGGGTTGGGCTTTTAATCATTTTTATTATTGGGGGTGAGGAGATGGGCATCGCTTTATTCCCTGCATTCTGGCTCCAAACGCATCCCCAGGTTATATCCAGGTTTTCTTTGCCAGAAAAGCAGAACTGGATTCATTGCCAACACCGCCATTTCCTTGCAGCATACGTTGAGGATGGAGTTAACTTGTCACTCATTCCCTCCTGCTTCATCCCATAATCTTCTCTGGGTCAGTTTCTCAGCACTGTCTAGGAATTTGTTTTTCCAGAAAGAGCCAGGCAGACCCCCCCTCCTGTACCTGTTGGGTGATTTAACAGGTGACTAAGCATAACATTCCAGACCATTCACCCACACTTGCCCAAATCCACTCTGTCCCACATTAGGAAAAGTGATTAATGGTTGTTTTCCTGCTGCTCTAAGTCAGAAGGGAAAGTTGTCCCATTAATACCGTAAGGGCAGCAACAGTTGCCACCCTTGTAACCATAGCAGATTCAGGCTGAGCAATCAGAGGAACCAATTTGATGCTGTTATTCTTTTCTGTCATCAGAAAGACAAGCAGAGTACATTTAAATGCAGCTGTCTGCCTGTTCCTTTAGAGGTTAGCAACTATTTAAACTATCAGCTGTCTTCATTGTCTCTAACCCTTTGTTGCCATTTAGTGGTTGCCTGGATTTTTACAGCCCAGATATGATAATCCTAAACAAAGCAATACAGCAGTTGAGGCTTAAGAGAGAAGGTCAGTCTGTAGGAGGGAAAAAAAATGTTGGCAAACCCTCTGAAGATATTTTATAGGAGGAACAGGCCACTTTGTGCCCTCCAGATGTTTTGGATTATGGCTCCCACAAGTCTTGCCAATGGCTCTGCTGGCTGGATCTGATGGGAATTACAGTTCAAAAGCTGCCACGGAGTGCTCTGGGTTGCCTTTCTCCTGCTTTTTACATACATTTCCTTCAAAGAGGTGAAAGATCTGGATTGTACGCAATACTTTTTCTCCTGGGGGAAAAAAGATCTTGGAACAATGGTCCCCAATCTTTCTGTCTCCACGGACCCATAGCAGCAATGTTGGCAGCAGCAGCAGCAGCGTTGGCAGGGAGGGGAGGGAATGTTTTGCATGCACAACTTGGTTCTCGTGCATGCACAAATGAAGCTTCGCGTGCTTGCCCACTGTTTGCACGGTCAGGTTCCCAATGGGCCACAGACTGGTACCAGTCCACGGCCCAGGGATTGGGGACCCCTGTCTTAGAAGCTATCCAGCATTTCCATTTCTATTATATTGCCTAAGTCAATGGTAACATTTCAGCCATTATCCCACCATGGTCTTTTCTGGAGATATAAATTCAGAATCAGAATAGAGCTGGAAGGGACCTTGGAGGTCTTCTAGTCCAGCCTTCTGCTCAAGCCTAAGTCCACCCTAACCCTATATCATTTCAGACAAGTGGCTGTCCAGTCTCTTCTTAAAAACCTCGAGTGATGAAGCCCCCACAGCATCTGAAGGCAAGCTGTTCCACTGGTTAATTGTCCTCACTGTTGGGAAGTTTCTCGATATGGTCAATTAAAAATACCCTTTTCCATCACTTTTGCTCTCTCTTTCCTCTTTCAGCTGTGAGGAATGACCGCAATAAGAAGAAAAAGGATGTGAAAGAGGAAGTGGTGGTAGATAGCTATGAAATGACACCTGAACTGGAAGAGCTCATCCAGAAGGTCAGCAAAGCTCATCAGGAAACCTTCCCATCTCTTTGCCAGTTGGGCAAATACACCACGGTAATGACTGTAACCTACTCTTTTTGAGAATGTAACCTACTCTGTTGAGAATGTAATCTAAAGTGCAGGACACAATAGAAAACCCTGGGTACTTCTAGCCTTGGCTGAACCCACAGCGTCATATTGGAGTTGTGGTACTTAATGTTTTGCTTCACAGCATATTATGCTGGTGAGCTAAACCACAAAATCAAAACCTCCTGGGTTGTGTGCTTTCCCCCCATCCTCTGCTAAGCCACAAGGAGCAATTTGGAAGCTTTACTTCTATCTTACACCACCACGATATGCCTTGTCATCAGAAATCTGAACAAACCTGTTAATTTTAACTCTAGTTAATTTAAAACTTGATAAAGGCAGCCATGGAGATAGGACAATGATCAGAGTAGCAAGACAAAAGGAAAAAAGGAAAACCACATCCAAAGATCAAGTACTATTTCTTATTTGTCCAAGATTAATCAATAATCTGTACATGCATACCCATCCCATCAAGCTGTTTCCTTTCAGGATAAGCAATGTTATGCAGAGCATACAAAAAGAGTAAGAAATAGCAAGTCAAATAAAAGCAGGCCCGTACAATATTTCATACCTAGTCTTTTGTTTTGGAAATTCTCAACTTTCTCTTTTGGAGAATCCTATCAGTTCTATCCAACCAACTTTCTCGCTTTCTTTTCCTCTTAAACTGTTTTGCTCTCTTCATAATCTTGTTTTTACAATTCCATCCATACTGTTCTTTTTTTTTGTTACATGCCACTCAAAAAACTTCTTTCATATTGGTCCCTCGCTTTTGTATTCAAATTACATTCATTCAATATTCACTTATCCTTGACCGCATTGTTTCTTATTTTAACACACAGAGTGCTTAGGGTCCTCACTTCCTTTTTATTTTCTCCTGACATGGCCTAGTCTCATTTCCATATAACAAAGTAGGCAAAACATAGCCGTATATAATAAAACCTCAGTTGAACAGGCCATTTAGAGGGAAAAGGTGTCTGTTAAATCTGAATGTCTGTAATTATGCAATTACACAATTAATGTAAATAGATGAAAATGACATAAATATCATTTATTCAGACAAATCACAGGAATAATGTATTTGTACATTATTTTGAGAATGAAATTCAAATGCAAAAATTGATCCTTTGGCTCTTAAGTTCATTAAATAAAGATCTGTTAAATTACTGTACATAGTCATTTTCATTGCCACAGAACATTTATTTCTCACAACAATCGCATGTTATCACCTTTCCTCTGTATTTGCACCTTACAATTTCTACATCAATTTTTTTGTCTTTACAAAAACTTCATTAAGGTACATAAATTCATCTGCTTGTACTAGTTTTTTTTTGCCATATATGTAATTTGCAATCATTCACTTCATTTTTTCCAATCACACATAAATACCTTCATCTTTGACAGATTAATTTTCAGATCTATACTTCTCATAACATCATACAAACTGTCCAAAGTTCACGACAAATTATTATGGTTCTCACCAAAATATGGTATCTTCTACATTAAAACAAAATACACTTAGCTCTTATTTAAGTCCATCCCACTTAGCTCTTATTTAAGTCCATCACAATTCCTTATACATTTATCCATTAAACAACAAAGGAAACATCACAGAGCCCTGTCTTAAACCCTGCTCAGTGCTGAATCAATTGCTAAAAATTCCACTTATTTTTATGAATTCTTTATTTCCTTCATAGCTTTTTAAGTAACCGACCTCCCACTCCATGCAAAACCATCTATAATTCAAGCTTCTTCTCTTCCACATATAAAACTTTTACTTCAAGCAATCTTGGTTAAGAGAATACAGGACACAACAGAACATAGTAGTCCAATTTTCTCAGGCTATTAATAGTAGATATTAAAATTAAGTGAAAATATACTGATCCAGCGATGGGGCAGCTGTGACCCTCTAGATGGCTAAGTTGCCAACTCTCATCAGTTCAGCCAGCAGTGAAAAGCAGCACTGGAGTTGTAGTCCAATACCTGGAGGATCATGGTGTCCCCATCCCATATGTGGGAATTCCTAAATCTTCTCATGAGTTAGGCTCAGATGCACAGCTTGTCATTTGCTTTGTCGATTTGCTCAGTTAGCAGCAAAGGCAATACTGTCACTTTTCTAAGAATTACTATTTTTAAGAAGAAAGGAAAATGGAAGGGGAGAAAAGAGTGGGGAAGACAACAGAGAAAAATGCCCATAGGGTTAAGAAAAAAATAATAATTTATCTTTGCTCCCAAATTTCTTTTTGGAAGCTAAAACCAGCTTCTGCAGTGTTCACTATCTCAACAGCATTTTCCAACACCGGGCTCACCCTGTTGGCTTCATCTTGGGACTGGAACTCCCATAAATTCTTATCCATAATGGATATCCTGGGAATTGCATTCCCAAGCTACTTGTAGCTGCTAAGCTGGAGGAGACCACTCAAAGGGGCAGAACAGGAATGCTGACTTCAGGAGTAACATTGTCCTGTGTGTGTCCCCAGAGAGGAACGTGAGGTGTGGAAAAAGAGAAAGCAATTGTAATGCCTGACTGTTTTTTTCTTCCAGAACTCCAGTGCTGATCACCGAGTACAGCTGGACCTGGGACTATGGGACAAATTCAGCGAACTGGCCACCAAATGCATCATCAAGATAGTAGAGTTTGCCAAACGCCTACCCGGCTTTACCACCCTCAGCATTGCTGACCAAATTACTTTGCTGAAGGCAGCGTGCTTGGACATCCTGGTGAGGGACAGAGCTGCAGAACCTGGTGGAGGGGTGTGTGTAAGCTGGGGGAGGGATGGCCTTCATGGACTTGGGGTGGATATACATATTTGGCCTTAAAAAGACCAAGAGGATTTTTTTTTTGAAAGACCCAAGGTTCCAAGGTGATCCCTAAAGTAGCAGTGTGTCTAAGTAATGCACATTGAAACCCATGTTTGAATAATTCATGCATCTGTGAATGCTGGGAGGGCTAGGCAGAAGCATGGGAAGCTCTTCCCCTCTACAGATATTTTTTTTTTTGAGGTCAAGAGTTTTTGCTCAGCTTTGGTTACTGAGGTTTTGCTGGGCATTTTCCAAACATATAATTGTAGGAGGAAAGGCCAACATTTATTGGAAAGGCTGATGTTCTCAGGAAACTGCATTTTGCACGGTGAAAATGTTTCAAAACACGTATGGAGTCCAAAGCGTTTCTTTATTGGATATTATAGGAGTACCAGAAATAAACAAGAGGAGGAAAAAAAACAAAACAAGGTTGGTCTCCCTAAAATATGTTTCTCCAGTGACTTTATTTCTGTCCTCTCCACCCTCTGCAGATGCTCCGTATTTGTATCCGCTACACTCCAGAACAAGACACGATGACCTTCTCAGATGGGCTGACTTTGAACCGTACCCAGATGCATAATGCTGGCTTTGGGCCCCTCACTGACTTGGTTTTTGCCTTTGCTGGGCAGTTGCTTCCCCTCGAAATGGATGACACCGAGACAGGCCTGCTCAGCGCGATCTGCCTCATCTGTGGAGGTAATACCTTGAGTGCAGCTCCTGCATCCCTGCATCTTTTCCCTATCAGCTTGGATGGAATGGAAACGTCACTTTGGAGAAGAATGCTCTTAAATTCCCCTGGGGAACTTCAGAAGACGGGCAGAGGCCTCAGCTTCTTTTCTTCGTAGGCAGGGGAACACAACTCAAGTGCAAGAGACTTAAAACAAGGTGGAGAGAAGGATGTCCCACTCTCGCAATCAGGGAAACCAGGAATCTTGTGTATTTGCATGCATACACATAGACACACACCTTAACTTTTAAGGGCATTTGCTGAGGAGACAAGTCTGCTTTTCGATCAATCTCTCATAAGTATCGGCCAGTCACAGTATCGAATTCCAAAGAAGAGAAAATTAAATCACATGGTGCAAAATATATCCTAGAGCAGCGGTTCTCAACCTATGGGTCGTGACCCCATTTGGGGTCGATCGACCATTTCACGGGGGTCGCCAAGCAAGGCTGTCCGCCATTTTTTTTGTCCGCCATTTATTTCCCCCTTTTCCGGCAGGTGCCTTACCTCCCTTGTGCTGGGCCAGCTGGTGGTCGGCCTGCTCCGTCTCTGCTGCTTGCCAGCTACGCCTCGGCCGGCGCAGGGGACGGAACCACGCATGCGCGGTGCTCCCGGGCAGGGAAAGTCCTCGACTTACGACCAGTTGGATAGTCCTCGACTTACGACCGGTTTTGTCCTCAACTTATGACCGGTTTAGTCCTCGACTTACGACCGGTTGGGGGTTGCGGCATTAAAAAGGTTGAGAACCACTGTCCTAGAGTATTTATTTTATTTAGAAAAATTGTATTGCCGCCTACTTGCACATGGCGACTCAAGGTGGCTTACATAAATAAGAAAAACACCCAATAAAAATAAAAATAACAAGAGAAAAATAATAAAATAATATAATAACCCCCCACCCCAGAGACAACACACATAAATTAGCTGTTTGATGGGCTCTATCCTGCTCTGGGTTCCCCAGGCCCGCTGGCAGAACCAGGTCTTTTCCGCCTTCCGAAAGAGTGTTAGAGTGGGGGCCAGTCTAATCTCTGATGTCATCGTAGATCTGTAGGAATGAAGTAGGAAAAACATTGGCGTGGACCACTGCAAAGTCTAAAAACTAGTAGCAATTAAAATGAAATAATTTCTAAATTAAAAGGAGGAGGAGGAGGGAAAGTCATGTGCCCTAGACAAACCAATCCGTATATATGATTACATAAACAGAGTT